TGGGCTGGCCAGGGAGGGACGCGCTGGGGGGTTATAGATCCCTGTCACCCCATGTGGGGCTGAATTTAGGCAGGTGTTCCCTGGGAACCTCGGCTTCTTGCCTGTCTTGTTGGGTCACTGGAACAACTGACCACTGGGGGCTTATCATGAGCTCCAGGGTCCTCATTGTGAGCCCTGTCACCCCAGGACAGGCTCCGGCTCCCCTGAACTCCATCCCCCTCCTTGGCCATCACCCTCACCCAGCGTGGTCACTTTTCCCATGACACCATCACACTCCTGGCTGCTGCTGTTTGAGTTGCTACTCTGGCCAAACCCATTTACAGATGGGAAACTGAGGCTCAGAGCGCCTAAGTCATTGCCAGGGATCCCACACCCAGGTAGCAACAGGGACCCGCTTTGAACAAAGGCCTTCCTCACCTCTGTCCCCCTTCTCTGTTTCAGAGAAAAACATGTTTTCACCAATCTGAACCTGTGTCTTGCTGAATTAGCATCATAGACATGATACTACCTTATGTTTATTGAGGGCTTACTATGTCCCAGACCCACACTAATAGATGCAACCACTCTCAATTCAGCCACTCTAGCTAGGAAAAGCAGATCAGCTGTATTTTGACAGCTGAACAGGGACAGAGATATCAAGTTACTTGTCCAAGGTCACGCAGCCTGACAATGAAAAAAGTAGACTCTGAATCCAGGTCTGTGTACCTGACATAAACCCAGCCAGAAGCTCTGGATGCTGGAACTGATAAGGTCCTGCACCCCAGCCTGCTCCTCTCACAGGTGCCGAGGTGGGCAGGTGGTCCCTGGATGCTGCCAAGCCTTTGTTCCCAGATGAAGAAGCCAGCTGTGTGCAGCTGGGTGGGGTCCCTTGCAGCTGCCAAGGCACCACCTGGAGCCTTTGACTCACTTCTGCTAATTGCTAATTGGCCCCCTTGACAGTGCAGGGGTGGGGACACGCCACTCAGCCACAACACACCACCCCATAGCGGGCACCCACCCTCGCCAGCTGAAGAGGAAAGGTTTCTCTTGGGGCCGAGCCAGAAGCTCTAACTCAGCTGCTGGGTGCTGAGCAGGTGCCGGGGCTGGGGGCAACCACAGAGGGCAGGAGCCACCGAGGGGGCAGAAGCCACGTGGCATGGGCTGGGTCTGGCCCTGCACAGGGTCTGTCCCCAGAGACAGTGTCATGGTGGGGTGGAGTCATGTGAGCTGGGATCCAGGAAACTGGCCACTTCCCTGTTTCAGAGGTCCCTGGACACATCTGGGACACCTCTGGGCTCTCTCTGGGCCTCAGCCTCCTCCTCCGTAAAAGGGAGCAGCTGGTTTTGCTGATCTGGAAAGTTCCTGCCAGCTTTGAGCGTTGATGGCTTTCAGTTGTGGATTCTGGGTTCTCTGCTCCTCTGCACCCTAAGACTGTACAACACTGAGTCTGATGCTTAAGGTACTGCGTGCAAGTCTAAGATTCTAGAATGGTTCAGTTCTTTATCTTGGGGCTTTCTCACTCTTGTTTTCATTACTAATAAGGAAAGGAGATGTTTTAGATGTTTTTTAAAAAATCTTAATTAGTTCCCCTATGGAATTTTATTCCTTTTGGGTATCTTATAAATCTACTTGTGTTCTGTACCTGCATCTAAGCTTTACATGTAAAAAGAGGACACAAAGAGCCAGGCACATGGTCACGCCTGTAATCCTGGTGGCTTAGGAGGCTGAGGCAGGAGGATCACAAGTTCAGAGCCAGCCTCAGCAACAGTGAGGCGCTAAACAGCTCAGTGAAACCTTGTCTCTAAATAAAATATAAAAAGGGCTGGGGCAGAGCACCTACTTAGCATGCAAGAGGGCTGGAGTTCACCCGCAACACCAGGGAAAAAAAAAGTTTTTTTTTTTTTTGTACCAGGAATTGAATTCAGGGGCACTTGACCACTGAGCCACATCCCCAGACCTATTTTGTATTTTATTTATTCTTGGTGGTGCTGGGGATTGAACCCAGAGCTTTGTACATGCAAGGCAAGCACTCTACCAACTGAGCTATATCCCCAGCCCCCCTGTTTTGTATTTTATTTTATTTAGAGACAGGGTCTCACTGAGTTGCTTAGCACCTTGGTTTTGCTGAGGCTGGCTTTGAACTCATGATCCTCCTGCTTCAGCCTTCTGAGCCTCTGTTATTACAGGTATATGCCACCACACCAAGCTACGAAAACTTTTTTTTTAAAGGAAAATCTGGTTTTGTCAGTAAGACCAACATCCAACTCCTTAGAGACAATACATGCTTTAAATCAAAGTGCCTAGAACTTTCTGTCCCTATGATTCTAGAACTGCAAGATTCTATTTTGTGGTTTGAGATTCTGGAATTGTCCTAGGTACAGAAATGTCTACATATCTTCACCAAAAGACAAGCAGCCCAGCCAGGCACGGTGGCACACGCCTGTAATCCCAGCAGCTGGGGAGGCTGAAACAGGAAGATCTCAAGTTCAAAGTCAGCCTCTGCAAAAGTGAGGCGCTAAGCGAGTCAGTGAGACCCTGTGTCTAAATAAAATACAAAATAGGGCTGGGGATGTGGCTCTGGCTACCCATAATAGCCAGAAACCAGAAGAAATTGAGTTCCATGACAATGTGGTCACATGTGGCCCTACAGCAAGGAAAAAGGAGCCACCACCAGGTGTATCACTACAGGTGAATTCCTCCGATGTTGTGTTGAGTGCAAAAAGCCAGACACAAGAGGACACTCCACGGATGCATTTAAGTGAAACAAACCCCAGGCAGAAGAGATTCATGCTCTGAGCAGTCAGGACAGTGCCAGGGATGGGGTAGCAGCTCTCAGGAGGTGATGGGGGACCCCAAGGGCTCTGGAATTTGTGATTTCCAGCTGGGTGGTGGTAGATGCCTGGGTCAGCTGCATATTCTGGACGTGTGCCTTTCTTTGCAGGTGGAATATGTTTTAACAACACTTTAAGATTCTGGAATTATTTTGATCAAAACTCCAGAATCACATGTTTCCAAGAGCCTTATGATTGTGAAGTTCTGAGCAGGAATCAGAAAACTTCCAGCTGTGGGCCAAGTTCAGCCTAGGAGCTGTGTTTTTTAAATAAAGTTTTTTTTTTTAAATAGATCTTTATCTATTTATCTGGGGTGTCCTCTCCTTTGCAGGATGTCCGATCTGAGTCCCAGGTGAGGAATTCAGGGTTGATGTTTGAGAGTCAAGAGTCCCAGTGTCCAGAACCTTCCCCTCCRCGGCTCTCACATCTGCGTCTGCCAGGAGCTGCAGGAGGTGGCCTCCCCTGGGCCAGGCCAGGGCCCTCCATGGTCGCCCAGCACACATGGTCCCTGCCTTCCTTGGAGCCCCCGTGGGGTGGCCCCAGGGTGAGGTTCCCGAGCTGAGGCTGCTGCTGGTAATGAACAGCTGGCACAAGATGTCCTTTTCCTTGGTCCATGCCACTCAGAGCCATTCCCAGACCCCGACCTGGGTCACCAGGTGAGGCAGGATCACCTCACTGCCCAGCCTGACCTGCATGCTCAGGCCTGTGGCTCCCTGCAGGCCAGGGCTCTGTAGGCCTGCAGTGTGCACAGGTGCCTGCTGTCCAACCCCAGGGAGCCTGGGGCGGAGCCTAGACCTGAGAGGCATGGGGGGGGGGGAGGGCACAGTGTGGCAGAGGCCAGAGTGGCGAGTAACAGAGGGGTTTCTGTCTCAATTGCTGTGGCCGAGAATGTCTTCCTTTTGCGGTCTAGAGGAATGGATTTCTCCCACTTGTTCTCTTCTCTTTTTTATGGGCGCTGGGAATGAACCCCAGCTTCACGTGCCAGGCGACTTCTCCCACTAGCAGCAGGCAGGCTGCCCGGCTGGAGGGCCGGCTGCTCATGACTGGGTCCTTGCAGGTGGGAATTCACTGTGCCCAGGGCCCTGCGACCCTCCCCTTAGTCATGAGTGTCCCCTAAGCAGGCAGCTGACCCAGAGACCTCAATGTCTCGCCTCAATCACCAGTGAAGTGACCTCCTCTCTCACTCAGAGCTGCGAGACCTGCCACTTCCACAGAATCCATCCTTTCSACCACAGGGAGGCCGACAGTGGCCCTGTCCCCAGCCCCGGCAGACCTCGCTCAGCCTCCAACCTCCCCACTCCTCTCCCCGGAGGGGTGATACTAGGACCCCAATGGATTAAGCCCCAGACCCTTTCATGTTGGTAGGAGAGACAGACATGGAAACAGCCTGAATTGGGGGCCCCTCTGAAATCAAGAGCAGCGTCCTCCCGGGAGCAGCTGCAAGGCCCCGCCTCCAGCCCCAGGGGCCCGGGAAGCCCTGTGTGGCAGGGTCGCTAAATCTGAGTGTCCTGTCTTCTCTCCCACTTTGTCCTCTTTCAGGTCAACTAGATCTACACTTGGCTACCAGCTGGCTTTGCTCTGCAAGGTGTAACTGTTCTGTGCGAGGGCAGATGTGGGCCGGGACAAGCCGTCTGACTGCCCCCCACCCCCAGCTTGGACCTGCGGCAGGACCACTTTCCTTGTCCATCCGTTGCCTGTGTCTGATCCAATCCTCCGGGATCCGGTGAGGGCCCTGCGCTACCTGCGGATAACAATACCCCCAGCCCCGTGGGCTGCGAGCTGGTGGAGGGTCTCTGGAGGAGGTCGAGTCTGGGGCTCTGAGGGAGGCAATAGAAGTTGAGCTGCGCCAACTGGAGGGGAAGAGGTTTAGAGGCCAGACCCCTGTGTGGATAAAGACCCGGCTCCTCAGTAAAATGCATCGCGTGTAGGTGGCCAAGGGCCAGGTGGAGCGGGGCAGGCGGGCTGCGGGCTGGAGCAACCACGGAGAAGGTGTGCGGGAACAAGTGGGGAGACTGAGGCAGCGGGGACTGGGATGACCTCGAGGTCACGCCGCTGGACAGGAGTCTAAGCAGGGTTGTCTTCGGCTGGCATCAATCTAGGATTCCCCCATGAGCCCCAGTCTCTGGCGGTCAGGCCCTCGCAGACCCCCAGCGCGGAACTACATTTCCCAGGCTGCTGCGGGGGGCGCGCCTGCGCACTGCGTGCAGTGATGGAGCGCTGACCGGGGGCGCGGCGGCGGCGAGGGCTCCGCGGGCCATTGGCTCCCGGCAGCGGCAAAGGCAGCTTGGGGGCTCAAGGAGCGAGCGGGGCCCGCGGGCCGGGCCGGGGTGACCTGGGTTGCAGCCATGGAAGACCAGAGGGTAGGACCGGGTGGGGCGGGGCGGGGCCGCTGCGGGGTGGGCGAGGGTGGGGACCAGGTGATGCCGCAGCGCCCTCCCCCTCCACCCCAGCTGCTCTGCGGCGGCGGCTCCACCCCCGCTGCAACCCCGCCCGGATCCAGGGCTCCCCCATCTGAGAACGCAGACCCCCATCATTTTGGCTTGGGGCCAAGGATGTCCCTTCCTTGCCCCCCACCCCGCCCAGTATCCGGGTCCAGCCCCGACCCCATCCCCCACGCCTTCCCTCCCGGTGAAGGCCAGGTGTTTCAGTGCTGGCCCCGCCACCTCCGTAGTGCTAATCCCACCGACCTGCGCCCCCAGAAAAGGGTCCCATCCAAGGCCTGGGTCGGAGCCACATACCGGAGCAGATCCGCCCGCAAGACTCCCTCCCCGCATCTCCTTTCTCCTGACCTCCCTTCCCTTCCCACTTACCTGGCTCTCTGGCATCTCCTTTGCCCAGGTGCCACCTTTGTCCAGGTGATCACTTTCTCCTTGCTAACCCTGCTCTCCAGGTGGGAATGCCCCTGCCTGGCTCACCCCTGTTTCTAGGCTAGTCTTCATCCCAGGCTTTCCATCTCTCCTAGAGTTTTTTCTTTCCAGAGATAGCCCTTTCCCTAGGCTAGCCCATTTTTCCTCCTGGAAGTTCTTTGCTCCCCTCAGTTTATGCCTAGCCTGGGTCGAAGCCTGGGTGGAAGCCTGGGTCAGGTCTGTCCCATCATCTATGAAACGGGGAGGCTCTGTGGAACCCACCTGCTAGGGGAGGTGCAGAGGGCCAGAGGCTCACCCAGGCCTGCTTGTGGCTGGTCCCTGGGCTCATTAGCATGGTGGCTGCATCTCTCCTCCTGGATCTCTGGAGGGCAGAACAGGGAGCGGGCCAGGTGGAGGAACTTACCTGCTCTGTGTGCATGTGTGGGGCAGGAAGCGCTGCGGAAGATCATCACAACCCTGGCTGTGAAGAATGAGGAGATCCAGAGCTTCATCTACTCCCTCAAGCAAATGCTGCTCAACGTGGAGGTGAGGGGGCAGGGGAGGGGGTGCCCACCAGAGCAGTGGCCCTGTTCCTTCCCATCCTGTAGGAGGCCAGGCCTCAGTTTCCCCGGCTGATCACGGGCTCCCGCTCATCCTGGCCTTCTGACTCAGGCGAACTCGGCCAAGGTGCAGGAGGACCTTGAGGCGGAGTTCCAGTCCCTCCTCTCTGTCCTGGAGGAGCTCAAGGAGGGCATGCTCATGAAGATAAAGCAGGACCGGGCCAGCCGAACCTACGAGCTGCAGGTGTGCGGCTGGGCCCCACCTCCAACACCGCAGAGCCCAGATGTTCCCGGTGGGCTCTCCCTGCCGCTGCCCAGCCACGGCCCCTCAGTCCCCTGTGCTGCTCCCCCAACTCCCCTCCAGCACCCCCCACCTGTGACTCGAGATCCCCCCCCTTCACCATGCGCTTCAGTTGATCAGCCCTTCCTGCTGGCTCCCCAGATCTGATGGTGCCCTCCCAGGCTCCCGCGGGCTCTCGCGCTCCAAGCCGGAGTTCTTTAACCCACATCTAACCCTCCCGGGTAACTCTGTACACCCTAGACTCATGTCCTCAGGACAGGGGATATAGTGTGCCCTGGGTATATGAGTTTCTAAGGGAGAGATTCCCCAGGTGGTTCTGAGGTGGCACCTGGAGCCTTGGCCAGCTGGGCTGGGCCCTCAGGTCCCAACTTCCTCTCCTGTCTGGGGCTTGAGAGGGCSCTGGCCCCTGCAGTGGTGGGAAGCCTGGGAGTGGTGAGGCTCCCGGTGAGTCATCTCCTCTTGGTCCCTGGCACCATGCTGACCGGGGCCACGCTACCCACAGAACCAGCTGGCCGCCTGCATGCGGGCCCTGGAGAGCTCGGAGGAACTTCTGGAGACTGCCAACCAGACCCTGCAGGCCACCGACAGTGACGACTTTCCTCAGGTGGGTACCATAGGGTGGCAGATAAAAAATACAGTGCATCCAGATTAATTTGCATTTCAGTTCAGGAGTGAGTGAGTGTTTTAATATGGACACTTATGCAGTATTTAGCATAAGTACCTCTCAAAGGTTGCACAGGATCTACTAAAAACATTCACTGTTCATCTGAATGTCAATTAAGCTGGGCACCCTGTATGTACTGGGCACTGTGCAGGGTGAGGGTGGGGTGATGCCTTAGTTTTCCTGTCCCCTCAAGGCACAGCTAGAAGAAGAGCAGGTCACCACTTCTGCCTCCTAGTATGGGGACTTTGCCAAATTGCTTCTCTTGGCATCTCCATCTTCCTGTCTGTATAATGGCTCTCTGGCTTGGTCATGACAGATTTTTAAATTTTATTCTGTCTCTCTTTTAGGCTGCCAAACAAATCAAAGATGGGTAAGATATTGGGATCTGGCTCCTACACCCCCCACCCTACCCTGCCATGAAGGTGGGACATCCTGGCAAGGGCACCTGGGCCCAGGACACTGGACAGTAACACATGGGAGGGGTCCCCCCACATCTCAGATGACCCGGCCTAGGGTCACCCCCCCCACACACACCCCAGCAGGCTGCTTCCCCTCCTTCCCTGCAGTGTGACTATGGCCCCTGCCTTCCGGCTGTCACTGAAAGCCAAGGTCAGCGACAACATGAGTCACCTCATGGTGGACTTTGCACAGGAGCGGCAGATGCTACAGGCCCTCAAGTTCCTGCCTGGTGAGAGGGGGGGGGCTGCTTGGAGGGCGAGGATTTCAGGGAAATGGCCGAGGGAGGCAAAGGAAGGAAAGGAAGTGTCTGGAAGGAAGCTGCCACAGGTGTCTGAAGCCTGTGATGGAGGGCCCCTTCCTATCCCTGGGGCCCGAGAATGCCCCACCCCGTAAGGGGGGAAGTGAGGAGGAGTCCTGGCTAAGTCCCGCCCATGTGGCGATGGAGCCTTAACTATTAACTGTGATCTCCTTTGTATGGGTGGAGCTCTGCTTTAGCCCCACCCACACAGGGGCGGAGCCCTAATTGAGCCTGCCCATGTGGGTGGGACTCAGAATGTTCTGCCCAATGTCGGCAAAGCCTGGTAGAGCCCCGCCCACGTGGGGGTGGGGCCACAAGACAAGCACAGTAGCCAGGCCCTGGGAAAACCCTGTACCCAGGGGACAAGGCCTAGAGAGGCACCCCCTGCAGGGAATTGACACTCTGAGAGACATTTTGGCAGTGGAGCCCTAAAGAAAGCCACCCCCAGGTGGTAGTGAATTCTGGAAAGTCTAGCTTCTAAATGGTGGAATTTTTTTTTTTTTTTTGGTACTGTAGATTGAACCCAGGGGCCCTTAACCAGTGGGCTATACTCCCAGCCCTTTTTATTTCTCATTTTGAGACACTGTCTTGCTACGTGCTCACGCTGCCTTGAACTTGTCATCCTCCTGCCTCAGCCTTTTGAGTCCCTGAGATTTTAGGCGTGGCCACCTTGCTCCGGTAACTGGTGGAATCTGACAGGGTCTGACTGTGTTGGGTGAACCCTGGGAAGGCACTGGCCGACCACTACCCCTTGAGGAGGCTCCACCCCCACGTCACAAACCCAGAGGGGCTGTCCCAGGTGTAGAAGACAGGTCATCCTGGGGCAGGGGCACTGCCACAAGCCCCTTGCCTGTACCCCACAGGACCCTGAACCCTGATCCCCCCTCCCTTCTGTCCTGGGCAGTGCCCAGCGCTCCTGTGATCGACTTGGCCGAGTCCCTGGTGGCAGATAACTGTGTGACCCTGGTGTGGCGCATGCCAGATGAGGACAGCAAGATTGACCACTATGTGCTGGAGTACCGAAGGACGAACTTCGAGGGCCCGCCGCGCCTCAAGGAGGACCAGCCTTGGATGGTGATTGAGGGCATCCGGCACACAGAGTACACCTTGACAGGTACCCACCCAGCTCACTGCCTCCAGGTGCCTTTGAGCCATGAGTCCACTTGGGCCTGGCCCACCTCCCCAGAGCTCAGGGTCTAGGGCAACCTGTGGGTGGGCCGGTCAGGAGCATCAGAAAGGAACAGGATGGAGGAGAGATGGCCGGCAGCGCTGTGCCATGACTGAGCACACACATCCCAGGTGTGGCTGCGGTCACCACGTGACCCAGGAAGGACAGGAAGCGCAGCAAGTATCTCCCTGTCTCTGCTGTCCAGCAGCCAGCCAGCCACTCGCTGATCCTGGCTGGTCTGGCAGCAAGCGCAGCCTCACCTCTGTGGGGACTCTAGGACTGGCCTCCCAGGACTCAGGATTTCCTTGGCAGTTACAAGAAGTCGAAAGCCTGGAGTCCACCCAGCTGCTGGGGGAGGGTCTCAAGGCTGGAATGTGGGGGCTCCCTAATGAGTTTAGAAAGGGGAGTCCTGGGGGCGGAGAGCCCGGCTGACGTCAGGGGTGTCCCCATTCACTTCCTCCTTCCCAGGCTGTCATCAGCCTGCTAGTTATCTGTAATTAGCATATGTGGTTAATAATGAGCTTGCTAATTGCAGAGGGGAAAATCACCCAGACAGCCTGAGCAGCTATTGGTTTTTTTTTCTTTCATGGGAATCAAAACAAACACACATGCACACCCTTTTTTTCCTCTTCTGGGATTCCACAATCCTCACCTCTAGGTCCTCCTGATTTCTGTTTGTTTTTTTGTAACTTTTTATTTTGAAATGGTTACAGATACATAGGAAGTTGTGAAAATTCAAAAAGTGCTCTCAGGATCTTTGTCCCCTTCCCCCAACTTCCTCCGTGGTGCTGGTTTACACAACAGTAGTTCATGTCGTTCATGTGGAATCCAGGAAACTGGGCTGGGGTTGGATTATACCCTAGGGGGAGGGAGAATTAACCAACGGCCAGCTACAGTGGCCACACAGCTGGCCACAGGGTAACCCTAGAGCTGAGGCAGGAGGATCGAAAGTTCAAGGCCAGCCTCAGCAATTTAGCGAGATCCTGTCTCAAAATAGAATAAGAGGGTTGGGGATGTGGCTCAGGGGTACAGCACCCCGGGTTCGGGTTCAATCCCCAGCACAAAAAAAGGAAAAAAAAAAAAGTCATGGGTAGCCAAGTTCAAGGCTTCTAGCAATAACAGTCACCTTTGACCCGTGGTGGCAGAACTTCTATCTCAAGAGGTTTCTTAAATGTGCCAGCAAAYTTGCTTAAAGGCTTAAATTTTGCTTAAAGTCCCAGGGCCAATTCTCATTGGTCAGCTTGGGTCATGTGCCTATCTCAACCAACCACTCTGTTGTAAAGCATTCTGATTGGYTGCTCTGGGTTGGAGGCGGAGTCCAGTAATCCGTGGCCCCCRTGGGTGGGTGAGATCAGCACAGTTTTTCAGAAAAGACTTGCTTGTAAGGGTGCTGCTGACAAGCCTGGGGTGGGGGCGGTGGGACCGCGGTGGCATGGGAAGGATAGCATTCCCCCACCGCCCAAGGCTTCGGAGTGCACAGAACTGACCTCCAAATGTTACATCCCAGGCCTCAAGTTTGACATGAAATACATGAACTTCCGCGTGAAAGCCTGCAATAAGGCAGTTGCAGGAGAATTTTCTGAGCCGGTGACCCTGGAGACACCAGGTGACTGGCTCCCACCCCCTCCCTGTCCACCTCCCTCCCTTCTGGAGACCTGTGTCATGAGAATCCACTAACCAGATTCTGCAGCCCTTGTGGCCCTGGCTGCCAGGAAGCTCAAAGCTGAGTCCACAGTGGCTGTCGTGTACCACCCTGCTTTTTCTGAGAGTGATCCCATTGTACAGGGATGGTTTAATACATACCTATGCTGTCCCTCTCTCATCAAATAGAGCAGTCCTGTTAGAATTGGGCCCAGAATATCGGTAGTGAAGGTAGATTCTGTAGCCTCCCACGGTGACACCGTGCCCGCTCTACCAGGAAGGCCCTCTGCTGTCTAGTCTAAGTCCTCCATGCTGTAGTCCTTCCCCTTTCCTGTGATGAGTCCTCAGTGGAGGCCCAGGGCAGAGCCATGCCTTGGGCTGCCTCTAGACTGGACCTTGCGCCTCCGGCTCCGTGTTGGGTTTCCCGCCTGCGCCCTCCCGTCTCTGTCGGTGTTTCCCGCCTGTCTCTGTGCCTGTCTCTCTGCTGTCCTGCCTGTCACTGTCTCTGTGTCTCTCTGGGTGCTCCCATCTCTGTGACTCCCTGTCTGCCGGCCCAGCCTTCATGTTCCGCCTGGATGCGTCCACATCCCACCAGAACCTGCGGGTGGAGGACCTGGCCGTGGAGTGGGACGCCATGGGCGGGAAGGTGCAGGACATCAAGGCGCGCGAGAAGGAGGGCAAGGGCCGGACGGCGTCTCCTGTCCACTCGCCCGCCAGGTACCTGCGTGCCCGGGCCTGGGGGGCTCCAGCCGAGGGGCGGGACAGAACCGGGGAGGGGGGAGGAGCCCAGGGCTCCCGGAGGCTGCAAAGGTGCCATGGGGAGCAGGAGCCTTCCGGCGAGGAGGGCCGGGCACGTTCTGACGGGGACTCGGAAGGGCCAGACCCTGTCAGGGACTGACCACAGAGGCCTCCTCTGGAGCAGCCTGAACCCTGCTGCCTCTCTGCCACCCACAGAGGTGTTCCGTCTCCCAAGAGGATGTCCTCGGGGCGAGGCGGGAGGGACCGCTTCACGGCTGAATCCTACACGGTGCTGGGTAAGGAGGGGCAGGAGCACTGGGGGGACCCTGGGCAGGGGGCGCAGGGACAGCGCCCTCGATGGACAGGGCAGCTGTTGGCCAGACCTCGCTCTGGAATGGCTCCAGGGAGGACCGTGGCTCTGGTCTGGGAACAGGGGGCAGGAGCCTCGGGGAGACGTCCGGGAGCGTGGGGGCTGCTGGGAGCTGGGGGCACGTCTGGGTTCAGGAGTAGCTGGTAGAATGGTGGCCTATGGAGCACCTGGGGTTGCAGAGGGCTGAAGCGGAAGGGGGCTCAGGTGACGTGAAGGAGCCAGGGAGAGAAGCTGGCGCCTGAGGAGAAGTGAGAGGCTGCAGGATTGGAGAAGGGCTGGGGATGTGGCCGTGGTGAAGTGCCCCTGGATTCAATCCCCAGTGACAAAAAAGGCGGGGGAGGGGACACTGAGTCCTGGAGAGTATCTAGGCTTAGTGAGTCTCCAGAGGGTCCATAAAACCTGGGGGACGACTGGGCCTGAGGAGGAGTACCCAGAGGAAGAAGCTGTGGTATGGGGAGTACCTGGAGGGAGAAGCTGTGGTGTGGGGAGTACCTGGAGGGAGAAGCTGTGGTGTGGGGAGTACCTGGAGGGAGAAGCTGTGGTGTGGGGAGTACCTGGAAGGAGAAGCTGTAGTGTGGGGTGTACCTAGAGGGAGAAGCTGTGGTGTGGGGAGTACCTGGAGGGAGAAGCTGTGGTGTGGGGAGTACCTGGAGGGAGAAGCTGTGGTGTGGGGAGTACCTGGGTGGCCTCCCTTCACGGAAGTGTATCTGGGCTGGGTTCTGCCCCATCCCCACTGCCTACTCTGGCCAACAGGCGACACGCTGATCGATGGCGGGGAACAGTACTGGGAAGTGCGCTACGAACCGGACAGCAAGGCCTTTGGCCTTGGAGTGGCCTACCGCAGCCTGGGCCGCTTTGAGCAGCTGGGCAAGACCCCTGCGTCCTGGTGCCTGCACGTCAACAACTGGCTGCAGGTCAGCTTCACGGCCAAGCACGCCAACAAAGTCAAGGTGCTGGACGCCCCCGTGCCCGACTGCCTGGGYGTGCACTGTGACTTTCACCAAGGTGACCCCCACCTCCAGCTGCCCGTGCCCTGCCCCTGCCAGCGCCCAGGTCCGCATCCCACTCCTGACACCGTCCCTGTCGCTCTGCCCTCCGCCCCAGGCCTCCTGTCCTTCTACAATGCCCGCACCAAGCAGCTGCTGCACACCTTCAAGGCCAAGTTCACACAGCCGCTGCTGCCTGCCTTCACAGTGAGCGGCCCTCAGCCCTGGGAGGAGGGGGGCTGAGGGTGTGGGGCGCGGCTGAGCCTCCTTCCTCCCCACCCGCCCCAGGTGTGGTGTGGCAGCTTCCAGGTGACCACAGGCCTCCAGGTCCCCAGTTCCGTGCGCTGTCTGCAGAAGCGGGGCAGTGCCACCAGCAGCTCCAACACCAGCCTCACCTAGGCCCCCGGCCACCCAGCGGCAGGGTGTCTGTGGGCCGCCTGGCCCGGCCCTTTCAGCTGGGTGCCTTTCTCTCGGTTGCTGCTTGGAGCCTTAACTCCTGAGGGGTGCACCGCCAGGGCGTGGCCCAGGTGGCCCCTCCCACCTCACTTCCTAATAAAGGTCCAACACTGCGCAGGCACGAGCTGCTTTCTGGGGCTGGGTGGTCCTGCCTGCTGCTTGGCCTTGGGGCCTCGCGGGCTTTCCTAGATGACCCAGCAGCAGGCTTGGCTGAGCTGAGGTGTCTGGGGTAAGTGGTGCCAGCCGTGAGAACACGTCCCACCCCATCCAGAGCCAAGCCAAACACGTGGGCCTGGGTCACTCAAGTTTTAATCCTGGGAGAGCAGATGGTGTGCTGAGCTGGGGCCAAGCCCTCCTGTCCCGCGGCGCGGCTCACTGCTCCAGGGCCCGCCTCTTCTGCAGCTTTTCCTGCAGCTCGGCTGTCACGTCCCCCAGCCCTAGGGGGGGTGGTCCTGAGGCTTCAGCTGGGCCTGGGATCCCAGCCTGTGTCCACCCCAACCCATCAGGACCATCTACAGACGTCCAGGGCCCAAGGCAAAATTAAATGTGTCCCCAGGCATTAGGAATCGGAAGACCAGAGCACTGACCTGCAGGGCCCTAGGGGTCCTGTGTGACCCTCCAGGTCACGCCCTTTGGAAGCYCACCCTGCAGGCACCCACAGACCACTTACTTGTTGCAAGGAAGGCAGCCTGGGGTGAGCCACCCACCAACTTCCTGGCCAGCGGCCTGTTGTTGCCTTTGGGCACTGTAAAGAAGGCAGAGGTGGGACCTGGCTGCCTGCTGGCAGATGAGGGAGGAAGTGGGGAGGGATCCCTACCTGGCTTGGGCACAGTGGGTGGCTTTGGAGGCTTTGCTGGAGCCTTTGCTAACTTCTTGGGCTTTGGGACAACCGGACAACCAGAGGAAGACACTGTGTGGACAAATGCGCAGTGTCACAGCCTGCCCCCACCCAACAGGACCCTGCCCCACACACCATCCTGATTCGCACCATCCTGATTCACGTAGTCCGCAGCTGGGGCATCTGCAATGGGGGTCACGTAGTTGTCATCCTGGCTCGGTAGCGGGGGCAGGGGAGGTAGTGGGGGCAGTTTGTCCTGGCTGGATGCCACAGGAGGCAGTGACTTGGAGCCACCTGCAGGGGGTGCAGGACCTGGCAGGGACAGTCACTGTCAGGCACATGTGGTACAGGGATGCCTTAGGGTGGGTCTGTGWGCATGTCTGAATACGTATATATGTCCCTGGGCAGCTGTGGTTTTTGTGAACCTGCATTTGTGTCCCTGGGTAGCAGACAGACTGGGTTTGCATAAGTTAAATATATGCCTAAGGCTTGTACGCAGGCACCTGCTGCACCTGTGCGCGTGACCCCACGCAGCTCTGGAGGCCCGCGCTGGCCCATGCCTTTTGCTGTTGTCATGATCTGGGACTGAGAGGGCTCTGCACGTGTGTGTACATGTGCTGCCTGCTTCCAGGAGGTGTGTGCTGTGTGGTGTGGACACGTGGCTGGAACATGGGACACATGCATGTGTAGACTGTCGTGTCTACATAGGCACACGGGGGCCTGTGGTTGCGCAGGTGGACGCAGCTCACGGAGCCTGCGCTTGCGTGTGGACATGTGTGGGGACYCTGCAGTGCCCGACCCACAGAGCTTTGCAGGTGTCCTGCTTCCTCCTGCCCCATAAACAGAACGGACTGCCACCCCTTCCCTGTCACTCACCCATCCCTGGGCATCCTCTGTCCCTCCAATGCCCTCTCTGCCCACTGACATCCCTTGGGAGCTGCAGCCAACAGCATCCCTCCAGGGAGCCTTTCCTGCAGGCGTCTCCCTCTCCTCCAGTTCCTCAAGGTGCCCCCTCCTCAGCTCCCATCTCTCCTTCACCCCACGTTCCACCCCACAGGGATGGGACTGACCTGTGTCCAGCTGTGGCCATCCCCGCCCCCAACCTGCAAGCTCCTCAGGACCAGGCCTGGGTAATTTCTGCCCCTGGACTCTGGGTATGAATCAGGCACTTGAGCCCATGTGCTGAGGGGGTGAGGCGGCATGGGTCCCAGGTCCCTCCCTCCTGCGCCCCAGCAACAGCGGATGGAGTTTCACCTGGCTCCGAGTCAGGGGCAGAGGGCACCGTCCATACACTCTCCCCGTTCTCTTTATCCGCGTCCACGTAGCCTGGAACAGAGAGGGTGGCCTGGAGAAGGCACATAGCCAGAGGCTGGCCCGGGGTGGCCTGGACAGGGCCAGGACAGGAGAGGCGCACTCAGGGCCCTCCACACACACACACACACACACACACACACCCCATCGGCAAAGCCACTCGCACCTAACACCTTCTCGTAGTCCTCCTCCAGCAGGAATGGCACCAACGCCTTATTGGTGTGCGACACGAAATAGCTGACCACTGCGTCCAGCGAGGAGCAGGAGAACTGCGGAGAGTGGGTAGTGGTCACGGCGAGGGCGGAGGGTGCGGATGGCGCCGGGGCGCTTCTCGGCACCCGCGTGCTCACCGGATCCTCCACGTCGATCACGTACTTAGCGCCCTCGCGTTTCACCTTGTAGTGCCGGACCACCGGCGCCCTGCAAGGTAGCCCAGAGGTACCAGGTAGCCCAGGCATGGCCCGGCCCTGGTCCTGGATCTGGCCCAGGGTGGGCCAGACCGACTGACTCCATCCTAAAGGGGGACCCGCCCCCAGTGCTGGCACCGCCCACCGCAGGGACCGGCCGACCGACGCACCCCAGGGGAAGGAGCTCTCCCTTGCGGCGGCCACGAGCCCACATTCTCCCTCCACCTTCAACGTGGCCCCAACCCCACCCCGACGACGAAGCCCAAGGGAGATCCAGCGTCATGCTGGTCCCCTAGGTCCCCTCCGAGCACACCCCACGCCCACCCGCCCAGTGCAAGCCCCTGGGCCGTCCTGCGTACCCGTTGAGCGTTTGTCGCGTGGTGACAGACACGCCGTCCTTGCCATCCCCGCTGGGCCGCAGCAGCAGGTTCCCGCACTCGGGGTAGCGCTCCAGGAGCAGCTGGGCCTCCAGCCGGCTCACCTTCAGAAAGCACCTGGGGCGAGCCGCGCCACCTACTTGGCACCGGCGGGTCCCGCAGGAKCGGGTGGCCCTGAGGACCCAGCCCACCTCCCAGGTCCAGGCCCCGCCCCTGGGTCCCACCCCCAGACCTAAGCCCAGGCCCCGCCCCGGACACCCACCCCCACCCCCAGACCTAGAGCCTGCCCCCAGAAGCTAAGCCCCGCCTTCCTCGTAACCCCGCCCCTGAAGACCCAGTCCTGCTTTCTGGGCACGTGATCCACCCTGGAGGTCTACTCCATCCCCTAGTCAGAAGGCCAGGTAAACCTGTCAGGACTCACCTGGAGAACTTTCCCGCCTGGCAAACCCAGACCCTGCCCTGGAGGGCTCCCCAGGAACCTAGGACCATCCTCAGGCCCCGCCCTCAGGGTCCAGACACGCCCGTCTGCCCACCAGGCCTGGCCACCCTGCAGGCCATCTGTAGACCCTCTAGGCACCCAGACCCAAGATCCCATCCCACCGAACCCAGTATGAGTTCTTATCCCGGCTCCAGCCCTGATGCAGCCTGTACTCAACCCGAGCCAGGTTACCTGAGCCAGCTCAGGGACACCCTCAGCCACTTCCCCTTTTCGTCCCCATCCTGGAGTCCCTCAGGCCCTGGCACTCACAACGGCRTCTCCAGGGAGCGGCGCGCCTCCTCTTTGGCGAGGACCTCGGCCATCATATACAGGTGTCCTGGCAGCAGGGTCAGCTTGGATGGGATGCGGAGCTGAGGGGTGACCAGGGCACAAGCCGTGAACCAGCCTGTGTGCCCACATCCCCGACAGGCAAACCGAAGCCGGCTGGCAGAGCCAGGATAAGAACCCCGGGTCTGAGGGCTCCAGGGCCTCAGGACACCGTAGGGGCAAAGAGGGCTTCCAGAGGATGACACGAGGCCCTGCAGAGGGGGACGCTGCTGGTGCTGGAGTCTGGGGTCTCACACTCCACAGTCTACAGGGGCAGCAAGTCCCAAACTCAGTGGCCTGCCAGGGCCAGGCAGGAAGCAAATAAGTAAATGAGAAAAACCAGGAATGGGGGCTAAAATTTCTGGTTTTGAAATAATGGCAGCTAATTTTGAGTTTTAGCATTATGTTGGCCAAACAGATGTCTATGGGCTACCTGTGCCCGCAAGTGGCCCGTTGGTGACCAGTGTGCCACACTCCAGATTCCTTCTACTGAGGGGTGGACAGGGAGAGGATCTCTAAGGCTGTCTGCTGGGGAACGGAGCAGGTGCAGGGCCATACTCACCTCTACCACCGTCAGGATGAAGCCTTTCCACATCTCACGAGACTCCAGGCTCTCCACCTAGGGAGGGAAAGAGAGCCCAGCGCTGACCTGGACCCCATGGGCTCGGCTGTGGAACTGGCCCGCGAATAACAGTCCCTGCCCCCACGGGCTGTTTGAAGATGAAATGAGTTAGGCAGGCTAATGTACCATGATGTCTGGATATAAGTCCTCACAAATGTGGGGTATATCACTGTTAGTTATTATACCAACCACTGAAAAACAGGAGTCCCGCTAGGGAGGCTGAGGCAGGAGGATCATGAGTTCAAAGCCAGCCTCAGTGACTTAGCAAGGCCCTAAGCAACTTAGTGAGACCCTGTCTCAAAATAAAGTGTAAAAAGGGCTGGGGGTGTGGCTCAGTTATGGACCCCTGGGTTCAATCCCTGGTACGAAAATAAATACGAAAGTAAAAATAAAACCGTGAATCGAGGACTAGGGATGTGTATGTGGGTGGCTCAGCGGTAGCACTGGCCTAGCATGTGCGAGGCCCTGGGTTCCATCCCCAGCACAAGGAAAGAAAAAAAGAAAGAGAGGGAAAGAGAGAGAGGGAGAGAAGGAGAAAGAGGAAAAGAGACCCAAGGAAGGGAAAACACATGAATCAGACTACACACACCTCCCTAGGCTCAACTCCCCATGGCTCCCAAGTCCTGCAGCACACAAGCCCCGCCCTGTCCCTTCCTGCCTTCCCTCCTCTCTTTCCCTCTCCTGACACAGGCCTTCGACACACAGACTCTGTCATGCTCTGTCCTGCCTCGGGGTCTCGGCACAAGCTGTACCCTCTGCCCGTGAGCTCTTTCACAGATGTCTGAGGCTCAGAGAGGTTGAGTGACTTGCACAGCGTCACTAACCCAGCATAAGAGTCCACTTGACTCCATGTTTGTGTGTGTTAATGGGGCAGGGAAATAAGGAAGGACAAGCCCCTCSAAGTGGCCTACCTTGAACTTGATCTCCTGATCCCGGAGGACCAGGCCGAAGTGGATGCCAGGGTCACGTGAGCCTGCCCTGGGAGCTTCATCTGTGAGTTTCACAAAGGTTCTCAAGTCCAGCTTCTCCAGGGGCTGGGGCATAGAAGAGGGGTCTGAGCACAGGTTGTGTCCCCTCRGGCCCTCTAGATGATGTGGCAGCTGTGGTGGCCACACCACGCCTACCCTCTCCTGGTCCCGGGATAGAGGATGGACCAGTCATGAACCCCCACTTTCGCGCTTACCTGGAAGTCCCGATTGCTACTGTAGAAAGAGATGGTGAGGCCCTGGAGACCTGCCCAGAACTTCTTGTAACCCTGCRGAGCACAGGTGGAGGGGGAAGGAGGTGAGGTGGCAAGGCTGGGCGTCTGCAATACACTCCGCGTCTCGGGGACGGCCACCCTCCCCAGAGCCCACACAGCTCCCTCCTGCGCCTGCTGTCTGTCTGTCTGCTCAAACGCTGCCTCTCCAGGAGGCCTTCTCACCCAGGGCCCAGCTCCTAGGGCTTGGCTAGGAGCTAAGACAGAAAGGAATTGTGGGCTGGGTGTGGCTCAGAGGTAGAGCACCGGCCTGGGGCGAGCGGGGTCCTGGGCTGTCTCCAGAGTCACAAGAGAAGAAGAAGAAGAAACTTAAAGAGCACCCGTCTGGTTTAGGAGGTGGGGGCTCCAGGAGTAAGGTGAACTGYGTCTGTGGTGTTCCTTCCACCAGCCAGCCCGCCACCCAGCGGCCACCCACCTGGCCATCTACCACCATCACCCTCCCTGCATCCACTCATCTGCCCAGCCGGCCAGCCGTTCACCCCTCACCTTCCATCTGTCCATCTACCATCCACCCGTCCACCCAGCCATCCAGCCAGCAGCCCACTTGCCCATCAGTTCTCCCTCCAGCTGCCCACAGACGCGTACTCGAGGTTAACTACCACAGGGACCACGTGCACCAGGCACCCTCAGGCTCAGAATGGACAGTACTTGGCTAACCTCGGGTGGTGCTAGGGATCCAGCCCAATGTGACCTCAGCCATCTTGGGTCATAACCACCGAGATCGCCCCAGCATAACCTGAGTCCATGTTTCCTGCAGTTTCCCGGAGGATTATAAATAGATAGCACAGTCACAGTGCTGTGTGGGACACCCTGCTGCGCCTGGGTGTGACGCGCTGGAAAACCCAGGTACCGTCCAGTCAGGATGAAGCTGCTTCTGTCCTGACACAGTGACACGCCTGCCCCACCCCCCCACCCCGACCAAATCACAGGGGTCTGTCAGAATGTCCCCCAGGAAGTTACCCTGTGGGAAACGGGGTCTGCCTGCCTCTGTGCCTTGGTCCCGCGGCACCTCGGGGCCTGTCCTAGGACTAGGCTCTTTTCAAGCCGTTTCATCCTGCTTCAACTTGGACGCTGTGGGACAAATCATCTTTCTCGGGGCCTCAGTTTCCCTGGGCATAAGTGGCAATGATAGCGGCTGCCACCTTGGGGTCTGGTGAGAACAGGTGGGTAGACAGATGTGGCGCCCAGGTGCCTGCCCGAGTTGGGCGCTCACCCACCCACATCCTGCCAGGTGGAACCAAGGCTCAGAGACTGAGGCCAAAGGCCGGGACTGAGGGGAGCGGAGCCGGGGCTCTCCCCTGCTGCAGGGATCTGTTGGTTGGGGAAGGTTTGGGTGCCCTGGGCCGAAGGCAATGGAATTAGATGGAGGGAACCCGGTGGCCGAGGCGGGGGAGCAGGGAGGAGCAGGGGGTGCTGGGGGGTCTACAGCAGAAAATGAATCTGGGCAGGGGAAGGGAGAGACAGTGCCCAAGGGAAACTGAGGGCTGGGCTTCACCCAGAGGAGCACACACCGCCCCCGGCCTTGGTCCTGTGGCCCCCAGCATCTCGCCCTGCCCCCCAGGCCACCTGTCCAGGGCCTTGACCCCTGCAGCTAAAGTTCACAGGGCCAACTGAGGGCTGGGCAYGGGGAGAGGCGTGGGAGTGAGAAGGCTCTGATTTCTGGAGGAAGTCCCTGGATTTGTTTGTACCCAAGAGATGGAAAGAGGGATGGAGACCTGTACAGAGAGGAGGCAGAGAGAGACGGGAGGGACACAGGAGGTCAGGTTGGAGCCGGAGCCTGAGAAACGGAGACACAGGGGTAGCAGGCCAGGGCCAGAACCAGCCCCAGCCCAGCAGGCCCAGGTGTCCAGCCCACACCRCCCCCACCCCGTGCCAGCAGGGAGACAGGCTCGGGAGGTGGCACACCTGCCGGGGCCACCCAGCACTGCTGCTCCCTGCCCACCTTACCTGGTCACAGGGTCCCTTTTTCTCTAGAAAGCTCTCATAATAGTGTGAAGGCTGGATGCCCTTGGGCTTGGGCACCCGGGGTGGGCTTGGGGCCGAGGCCATGACGGCCGGCCCGGGTCTCTGCCGGCCTTTCCTTCCAGCCGGCGCCCCAGCCGGGCCAGGAAGCCGAGAAACAGGTTCCAGGGGAATTTCCTTTCGATTGTCAGCTTGTCACCTCCCTCCCCTGCCAGTACTGGGCGGGGGCTGGGACAGGGCAGGTCCTGGATCCCAGGGAAATGCCTCTCTGGGCTCTTTCCTGAGCCAGACTGAGTAGGGAGGCAGGTGGCACCTGAGGGCTGAGGGGTGGCACAGCCACCTCACAGGAACCTGGTCCAGGCCCCCCGGCCTACTGGAGCAAGCTCACCTCTGGGGTCTCCACGGGAACCACCCCAAACCGGCGTGCCAAATAGGGAACCTGACGGCCTTCCTGCCCCGCCATCCCATCCCTTCTCACAGGATGAGAGAATCTAATTTTTGCAATTCTCCCGCGATCCCCTATTCTGTACCCACAAAGCCTTCCGTGGGTCCCTCTGGATCAAGAGTTCTCAGGGGCTGTGCTCTGAACTCCCGCTCTCTCTGTTCCACTTCTGTGGACCTTTATCCTGGATACTTCAGGATGCTCTTATCTGAAAAGGCAGTCGATCAGCAACTTTAATACATCTTTTTTTTTTTTTTTCCTGCTGCTGCTGAGAATGGAACCTAGAATGGAACCCATTTTATAGATCGCACATTCCAGGCACGTGCTCTACCACTGAGGCACCCCAGCCTCCCATCCACGGCCGTCAGTTCACATTGCCACATACCCTGGCGAATTCACAGGTTCTGAGGATTGGGATATGAACGTCTTTAGGGGACTGAGTGGCTGGATTGAACCCAGGGGGCATTGTACTACGGAGTTTCATCCCCAGCCCTTTTTGGTTTTATTTATTTATTTTGAGACAGGGTCTCACAAAGTTGCCTCCACCTACTGTCCCTGAGATGACAGGTTAGGGGAATAGTGTTCTGCCAACCACAGCCTGAAAAAATGATGGATGACGTGAATTGATTGATTTTGAATACTGAAGCCGCCTTATGTCCCTGGAACAAGCCTCGCTAGCTCACAGCGTGTAACTTGTATGATCCATTACATACATTCATTGAGCCCAGGGGTGTTGAACCACTGAACTGAGTACCCCCAGCCCTTTTTATTTTTCGAGTCAGGGTCTTGAACTCCCAATCCTGCCTTGAACTCCCAATCCTGCCTCAGCTTCCAGATGGCCAGGATGACAGGTGTGTGCCCTGGAGCTTGGCTCATCTGACAGATCGCTGAATTTTATTTGCTAGTATTTCGTAAGGATTTCTGTGTCTCGTCATGAGGGACAAGGTCAGAAGGTCAGGAGCGTTTTGTTGGTTTTTGCRGTCCTAGGGTTGGAACCCAGAGCTTCACAGAAATTAGGCAAGGGGTCTACTATTGATCTGTATCCCCAGCCATGGCAGAACTTTTTGGTTAAACTGCTAAAACCTGGAGTTTTAAAATCACGTATTGGGAGCTGAGGTTGTAGCTCAGTGGTAGAGCGCTTGCCTAGCACGTGTGAGGCACTGGGTTCACTCAGCATCAAATAAATAAAGGTACTGTGTCCATCTACAACTAAAATTATATATATTTAAAAAATCACATATTCAACTTTCCTAATACAGAGACAGGCTGCCTGGACGTTATACAGATAGCAAAAAGCCTATGTACTCCACAGATCTCTTCCTCTGCTAAACAACTGAACACAGTATCAACCATGTAAGATGTACACAGACGGTGCCATATAAGTTGCCCATTAGGTCACAGTGGTTGGTTTCAGTTTTACTTGTCAAAGGCAATAGGGAGCCACAGAAGGGTTTAGTTCAGGGGAGGGAGGTGGTAACACATGCTTTTTGGCAAGCTCCCTTGGGGGCTAGGTGGTGAKTATGCGGAGCTGGAGGGGTGCCCAAGGAAAAATGACCGCGGTCCATGCAGGTGGGCTCTCTAGCAGCTGGAAGGCTGGTTCAAAATTTTGGAAGGCAAGAGGTGGAAGAGAAAGTGAGCAAGGATGTGGGGAAATAAGCTGAGGCCACCTTGGTCTCTTGAATCTGGGGGGAGCTGGAGGGTCCAGTTACTGGCTGGTCAGTCAGGGTGGTGACTCAAACAGGAGTCCTGGGCTACAAAAATAATACATGCTGATGATTCACACTTCTGCTGCTCTTGTCACGTATTGCTCCTCAGAGCGCTGCAGAGTCCCAGCGTCCTCCCCGGCGCCCAGAACATTCGGTCCACTCTTCCGACGGCGGGAAAACCCACCGCATTTGAGGCCAGTCCACGGCGCCTCTCAACTCGGCGAAGTCCCATCCGGGATTTGAGGGARTTCCAGCGCCTGGCCTGGGGCCGAAGGTCCCGGGGCAGAGGCCGGGGACTGAGCCGAGGACAAAGGCCGAAACTGCGGGGTCCGGCGCGGAACCAGCCCGCTCCGCCCCCTTTCCGCCCGCGCAGCAGAGCCGAGGTCCAGGTTTTATCCGCGAGCTGATTGGTTGGTTGAGAACCAGACCCTGCACCTGATTGGGTGTGTGAAACCGGGGGTGGGGCGTCCTGGTGACTGGTCGATGTGGACCGTTGCCCATTGGCTGAGTCGGGCAGACTCGGCAGCGAAACATTGACCGGGGGCGGGGCACACCGGCTGCTGCCGATTGGCCGAGGGGGAACTGTATCATTACTTGGCAGGCTCGCTCCGTCCAATCGGGGAATCGGCGGGAGAGGGGGAGCCTTAACCCTTTGAAGGCTGGAGCCTGATTTGGGCGCTTTAGACTAACCCTTCTTTGAGGCAGCTTCGCCGCGGCAGTCTGTTCGGTCCCCGGGCCTCAGTGTCCCCACGGGTCCCAACAGCCAAGGCGTCCAAGCCCCTCCAGAGCGGTGATCCCGGGCCTCAGATTCCTTGCTCCTTACAGTAAGGCTGAGCCCGCGGCCCCAACCTGCAACCCCTAGTCCCGGGCCTCAGACGAGGTCGGGTGTTCARGGTGGTATGACCTTAGTCCTGGGCCTCAGTTTGCTCCTCCAGGTCACCACCAGCGTCCGGCCTCRGTTTCCCCAATGGTCCTAGAGGACTGAGATTCTGGCCTCCCCGCGGGTGGTCAGGCCTGAGGCCTCAGTTTCCACCTCAGCCCAGCAGTCTGAGCCACTCCTGCGCCCTCAGCGCCAGGCTGCAACTGCTGAAGGGTGCGCTCCCAAAGGGTTAGGGTGGAACTGGGAAATTCAAGGGCCACCTGGGGATGTTACAGAGCTGGGATCGTTCAGGAAACTGAGGCACCCGAAGGTTCCCCCTTTAAATCCCCCAATTCTTTTTTGGGGGTACTGGGGATTGAACTCCAGGGCACTCGACCACGGAGTCACATCCCCAATCCTATTTTGTATTTTATTTAGAGACAGGGTCTCACTGAGTTGCTTAGCACCTGGCTGTTGCTGAGGCTGGCTTTGAACACACCATCCTCCTGCCTCAGCCTCCTGAGCTGCTGGCATTACAGGCGTGTGCAACTGTGCCCGGTTTAAACCCCAATTCTTGGCGTCAAGGTAGAAAGATTTTAGACAAGCCACTCAGAGTAATAGGATGAGTTTAGGGGCTGGGGATGTGGCTCCAGCGGTAGCGCGCTCGCCTGACATGCGTGCGGCCCGGGTTCGATCCTCAGCACCACATACCAACAAAGATGTTGTGTCCGCCGAGAACTAAGAAAAAATAAATAAATATTAAAATTCTCTCTCTCTCTCTCTGTCCCCCTCTCTCTCTCTCACTCTTTCTTTAAAAAAAAAATAGGATGAGTTTAGTAGACAGGATGGGGAAGGGATTAAGGGAACACTCTCAAGGGAGAGTGGGTCTTCTCTTAGGAATACTTGTCACAGGCAATGCCTTTTGAAACATATACTCCATCTTTTTTTATTTTTTTATTTTTTATTTTTTAGTTCTCGGCGGACACAACATCTTTGTTGGTATGTGGTGCTGAGGRTCGAACCCGGGCCGCACGCATGCTAGACGAGCGCGCTACCGCCTGAGCCACATTCCCAGCCCCCATATACTCCATCTTAGAACAAGAGTCTCCTCATGATCTCCGACTCAGTCTGACCTAAACCTAGACAGTATTCCATTATCATGCAAAGAAAAGGAACTCTTATCTGAAACTTGAATCCTGAAAACTGGTTTGACATGGAACAGTGACCACCTCAAAGAATAGACGTGACACCACAAGGACCCATACCCCCTAGCAATGGCCTCACCACAAAAATCCCCCCACTCCCTTATGCTTCTATAACTACCCCATGCTCAGTCTCCACTGAGTGAATCCCAGTACCCTCTGGGCCTCCCTCTGCAGGTTTGTTCCTGTTAGAAATGACGAGATGCCATAAGAAATTAAGTGTGTGCTTGGAAGTGGGTCAGCCAGGGAAACGTGTTCTGCAGAAGGGTGCGCTCCCSGAGAGAAGCTGGGAGCCAGCACACCTGAGCAGGCAGTCCACCAGCACTCATCCCCAAGGAAGGACCGCCCCTTGCTCCTGATGGGAAGAGCTTGGCGGTACAATCTATGTGATTAGCTAATTTAAAATTGGGGTGAGCGAAAGGGAAGAGCTACAATTATGACTGGACATTTGTTAGGGAATTTAAAAATGGTGCCACTCTGGTCCCATGACTTCCTGATTTCAAGATGGCTCTATTTTAATCACATGACTCCGCCCTTTCAAGATGGCTTCCTTCTGACCACCTGTTCCCTAACTTCAGCTGGCTCCTATACACTGTGAGACGTGAGTTACAGTAACCATGTTGGTTTCCAACCTTGACAGAGAAGAAGACATTAATCTTACATCCTCAATAAACCCGTGCTACTGTGGAGCTGCTCTCTGTAGTGCACCCCCTTCTCCGCAGAGATCTTCATTAAGCTTCTCCAGAGACCCCACCATAATTTGTTCTCAGACTCTCAGCAAAACTTCTGCAAAAGAATTATCAGGCGGGGGATGCACCTGCAGAAACACAGTGTGATAAGAAAAACGAACCCGAGGCCGTCACAGAGGGGCTGGCATCTCCAAGGACGATAGGCAGATGGTGGGAAGAAAGGGGARGGGGACTCTCTTTTT